CTGGCAGCTTCCACAATTGGTAGAGAGCAGGCTGGCGCCGCATCACGCCCAAACCCCCTGAAACGCCAGCTTCTGCAGCCACCAAAACTGTACTTCGCTTTCGAGAGTAAGACGCAGCAGTCCCTCATTGCGGCAACAAGCACACGCAAGCTATAGTCTTGTTCTGATGGGCGTTTCAGTGAGGGAGGGGCTGGGTCTAGGGCGGCGCTAGCCCTTTTTGTACCTGTCGTTGTTGCTTGCTCGCTTTAACCGTTGATTAGAGAAGGAGTTGGCTCTGAGCAGAACCCAGCCTCTCTGACACCCCAGTCCGCAACCAACAAGGCTGTAGTATTCCTTAGCTGGCTTCCATAGCTTCCATTCCATACCAGTTAAGCATTGAATCAAGTAGGTTCTCGTGCAAATTCCGCGCGCGTTAAGCCGGGTCAAGTGTTTGTCCACTTGGGTATTTTTGGTGTGCCGGGAAGGTTGGTGTCAGCGTGAGAATTTTTTCGATTGTTGATTTGACGTTTCGGGCGCTCCACTTCCTCACTCGACGATGTTAGGGGTCCTAACGGTGACTAAGATGAAGGTGGGAGGAGGGGTGGGAAGGGGCGGTCGTTTTAAGGAGAAAAATTCACTGGAAGCTATGATTGATCGTGGCGTGAGGGGAGCACTTCCCAGAATTCCGCTTCAGACGCGCGGCTTGCATGGTGGAACTCTTGCGAAGTATCGGTAATGTTCACAGTAACCAGTTAATCAATAATGCTTTTTCAGCGCTGACGGCACCAATTTTTCGCTTTCATCGCAAATTTCCTCGCTGAGTAGACCGTCGGCGAATTCTACCAGCAAAAGGTGATTTCAAGCTGATCCATTACTGGTTATCCTTACTGAAACGAATTCTCTCTTAGAAATGAATATCGCATACCACTTCACAAACGAATGGCAAAGAAGATACGTGTAACGATATGGTTTGCCAATGATTGGCTTTTTCTCACAGAAATCCACTTCTCATCAGGTTTGACCGATGCACATAGCTTTATCAGTAACTATGCACACTTTAATGTATGCTGAGCAATTGGTAGCATAGGGCCTTAATAACGCAGTTGCCCGCTGAACTCACCCTAGACGGACGAGTCCACCCATTGTTCCTATCAGTCCGTTACTCTTTTTGAGGGGAGCGATGGCATGTGAAAGACTAATCCGTCGTAAAAAGCGTTCCTAAATCAGGTGTGTGTCAATACTACGTGGTACTCGCACGAGCGTTATCTATCGTACTTTCCGCAACACAATCTTTCATGAGCAGGGGGCAGCATCGCAGAGATGAATGGGGTCGTTCTTGGTTACTGGGAAAGGGTATGCTAGCCTTGATAGAGATATTCCGCTTGCGAGGAAATTGTTGCCGTCGCCAAACCACCTTTCAACCACTATTTCTGAAAGTTGAAATAATTATTTGATCGGTGCGACGTCCACACCCTCCTTCGCGCTCGTCGCCAGTTTCTGGCTGGACTCAACTTCACGGTTCAAACTGGAAAACTTCTTTGAAAATTGGGAAAAAGTGGTCAGGATGAAAATTGGGAAAAAGTGGTCAGAAGTTGGGAAAATTGAAGAAGGTGCAAGGGTGGGAAGTCATACTAGAAGGGGAATATGGGAGTGGAGGGGAGAACGTACTGTCAACTGGTCTTCACTGGTCGTGCCGTTTCACACATCATGATGCTCTACCATGTGCACTACCCCCTCGCCCTCTATAGTCTGCTTATTCTGCAATCTTGCAAGTTATCCTATTTGGACTATACAGTCAACAGGACAACCCCCCA